AAATGAAATATTTAGGTATATTATAAGATAAACGTTTAACCTGGGGTTCTCATGTTAATGAAAAAAGTAAATCCCCCAATAAAATATTAAATATCATCTACTCTCTTTTAAATTACAAAATATTATTCGATAAAACATTTCTAATATACAAGTTAATCATACGACTTTTTTCGTCCTATGGAATTGCAATCTTCTATAATCTCTATATCAGGCTAATTCAGTCGTTCCAAACATTGCACTGAGGATAATAATACTCGATCCTTGGTACGTATTAAACTTTGCATTAAATAATGGCTTAAAGGTAAACACGACTACCGAACTAGTTCAACAAATGTATAAACGTTTCAAACAACACGTAACACACACTAGGTACTTATAATCCACTATCGCACTTCCATACAACCTACCACGTAGACTAAAACGAAAATTGTGTAGGTTGTATACCACCTATTCATGTAATTGAAAAATGTTACTAATGGGCAATTTCCTCATCATATATTACGTATCCAAGACCTAAGTTATACATAACCCTAATAATTTATCAAATGTACTTATTGCCATATAATGATATAAATTGTACCCATTGTAAATTGTCTTGTAATAAAACAACATGGGTAAGTAGGTAGCCGCTCTGATGTACTGTAGTAGGTATCGAGTGTACATCTAGTACATTTCAGTAAGTCACTGTAATTTATGTGTTACGATTGAATTTTAAAAAAAAAATTTTTAAAATTGAACTCATTACCATTACAAACAAAAAAAAAGGTATTTATTAAAAAAAAGTCTTCAATTTCAAATGAAAATAATTTGAAATTTATAACATGTTTAGAAAACACTAATATAAAAATTTATTGAAAATTACAAGTATCTAAAGTTATTCTTTTTTGAGTTACAAACTTACAACTAATTTTGTCAAAACTAGGTTTGCGTAAAAATGCCCTTTTATCCTAATTTTTTTTTTGTTTTTACCTATTATTCTAAAAAGTAGATAAGTACTAAGAATTTTGACCTTATAAAAGTACCAACTATAGTCGGGAGAATGAAAAGTGGCCACTGGTTATATGTTAGCAACATTTTTTTCTTCGCAAGCAGGGATACTAAAAATCATAAATAACATCATTCTATAATACATTTTTATAAGGTAATTATATCTAAATCTAATATTTCAAAATTCGTGTGCTGCGAAACCATCACAGAAATTCACCACCAGAAGTGTGCGCATCAGCTGCCACTTTTCTTTCTCCCGACTATAGATTCACTTTTCTACCAGAAAATATATTAAAGCTGAAAGTCAAAGCATTTTTTTAGCTATAAATCGGGAACACATACTCTTAAAAAAAAGAAAACAACACATCATTATAAAATCAATACATTCCTCGCTCCTCTCAAAATCTAAATATATATATATATATACCGTAAACCAATTAAAGTGCATAAGAGTAATAGCAGTAGCCTGTAAGTATGAAAAGTAAAATAGTAATTCAAGAAAAAGTTATAACAACTAAAATAATATATAGAATGATTAATAGTTAGGCAGGCACCTACTCGAAAATAAATGAGAAGTTTAAGGCAGTTAAATGTTGCCTCGAGAACATAGAAACAAAAACACCCAGGGAAACGTTTGTTGTCTTTATTCTTTATCACAAACGCAAAGAAACATTAACAAAATGGATAGCAGCTTTCTATTTCATACATATTTTTTAATTTATGAATAAATCTTTTAACTATGATAAACAAGCTGACTAACCAAAGTTTGTCTGGGAAAATGATATCGTTCTAAATACACATTGAGAAAAAAACATTTTGTAAATCTGAATTCAATAAACAAATATAAACTATTTAACTATGACTAACTATTTTTAGTTTATTTAGTAAATATATGATAAGGCTATTCTAATAACCCATAACAGTACATAATGTAAAAACTAAAAACGGAAATGTTTCAAAATTTCGTGCAATTTTGGTACCGACAAGGTTTATGGTTAATGGTAATAGTTTATTAGACTATACATGTACCATTGTACATACTATGCATAAACTGTGAAAAGTGTTGTCTCTTTTTAACTGTTTCCTTTACGTAAATTATACTTATATTAGTAAAGTATTGAATTAGTAACTCGATTTTAAATGTTTGATTGATCACCAATATCAAAAATAAATTACTCCTATTGTTGTATCAATAAAATATTAAAATTGTGTACCTATACAATTGTATTAATATTTTTTATATTATTGTGAGTTCATATTAGAACAGGAGAAGCATTCAATATTGTTATTTAAATTTAAATTATAAAGGAGTTGTACTTTAGTCATGTATTATCTAATGAAAACATAAAATATTTTTTAACCAACAAATAAAATTGTATTGATATTTTTAGAAAAAAAACTAAAAAAAAAAATGGAAAATGAAAATGTCCCTAAACAGTTCAAAATAAATCAATATATTTTGAAAATGTTACAGTGTATAGAAAATGCAAATATACGCAACCAGTAAAAAGTATATGTATCTACGGTCATTTGTTTTAAAGTTACACCAAAAACCAAATTCAATTTTATGAAAAATTGATTTTGTGTAAAAATTCCCGTTTTTAATTAATTTTTCATTTGTTTTCCTTGGCACTTTTGAAAATTACTAGGAATTTTAAATTTTGATTTACCCAATGCACCAACGATATTCACTTTCCAATCGAATAAGATACTGAAGTTGAAAATCGAAGTATTATTTCGACTACTTATGGTGTACACAGACACAAAAATAAAAAAATAAAAAAACACACATCATTGTAAAATCAATACATTCATCGTTCCACTCAGAATCTAACAAATATATTATTAATAACATAAAGCATATTTTTTTATTTAACTGCATAATAGTGTAATAATTTCATATGTTTGATCAATTTGTAAATATAATTATTTGCTAGTTGAATTTTTTTCATATAAAATAGATATAATCTAAATAAACAATTGGCTACTTATGCTGATACTGATACTGTACAGATTTTATTTTAGGGGGAAAAATGAATTAATATTATTCTACACCTCTACAAGTGTTCTTTTTAATTGGGTGAAAAATTCATGTTTGCTCTTATGGATTTAATTACTAAAAACTATGCATTTAAACAGGGTTGTCTATATAAAATGGTATTTTAAAAACTTTTCAATTTTAGAACATAAATATTATTTTACCAGAAAATAATTAGTATAAGACGTATATTACTTATTATTATGAAAAATATTAATAAATTCTCTATTGTTTAATATATACAAACTATTGTACCAAATAAAAACAATGTTACTCACAATAACGTAATTTATATCAAGTAATTAAAACTACATTACAATATTTTAAATCTAAATTATCTTGTACACTACTTATAATGAGTAATTATTTTTCAATACCATTCTAATCATTAATCAAATTAACATAAGTATAAATTATAGTTTTAAGTATTAAAGCATTTAAATTATTGTTCAATAAACTTTCACTCGTCATTGTATAGGTTGTAAGTTGTAAACAAATATTATGTTTAATATTTGAGTACCTACTCTGCTGAAACGAAAATTTATATTCAGAAAATAAAAACTTTAATCAAATACTAAAAGAAGAATTTTACATATTATCGTGGTGTATTTAAGTTTTAAAAAATTTAAGAAAAAAAATATACAGTTTTAAACATGTAACTAAATAGAAAGTTCGAAGAAACCAAAACATTTAACAAAGTTAAAATAATATTCAATTAATTATGCAGAAAACTTGAAAAATAGTTTTATTATTTAGTAGAGTAGATATTATAAATATATAATATTAGTTAATAGTTTTAATCGAGGAAAACCAGAATCATGTTAAAACTAACCGTATAATCTTAATTAACCTTTACTCTTGTACTGTGGCTCGTAAATAAAATTTATTAAAATTTAAAGTTATGATTGATGTTTTTAACTACAAGATGTGACCCCTTTAAGTCTAATGTCATCAACAAATAAACAATGTCATTAAATTAATTTTTGTTAGAAAAATGGTCGTATATTTTACAGCTAATAAATTACAAAAGTTTTTGAAGATGGTTCAACGACAAATCATTTTAACCAAATTATATTTTTAAAATTCAAAATGTAAATTTAATTTAACTGGATTTCTGCATTTAATTAATTATTATTTACTTACTAGCTGCCCCACTTGGCGCTTATTTGTACTTGTATATAAATATAGTTGTTAAAAAATTTATATACTAATTATAATAGTAATTTAATATTTAACCAATAACAACTCTAAAATAAACAAAAAAAAATATTCTTTTGTGAGATGAAAAAAATTCACGTGAAGTCGTGGAGATATACACTTTTCCAATTTTTCTTTCCGTGCAAATAACCTCATTTGGACTATCACAAACATTAAAATAAATAAAAAAAATTAGACAAATCAGTCCAGATATTCTCGAGTGATGCAGTTCCCAAATGACTGCAATATTTACATATTATATATAACATAATTTGAGCTCCTCATATTTGTAGGTATACCTAGGTATAGTTATTATTTTTTTTAAACTATACTTAAGATAATATATGTTTTCTCACAGTTTTCATATTTTACTGGTACCCAATACCCATATTATATTATCAACAGATTATTAGTTAATAATTTTTATTAAAAACAAAATATGATAATTGTAATTGGTTTTAGTTACCATGGTATAATTTCTATGCTCTTCAGTCTTCACCATGAGGGATTTCTAAATTTCCTAACCATACTAAACAAATTCCCTTAAGTTAATATATAAAAAAATATTAATTTAAATGTTTTACCTATAGTTCATAAAAATATTACAGTTAAGGTGATCTTATCCAACTAAACAGTAGAATAATAAATAATAATCAATTATAAAAGTAATAACACTATATTACTTAGATACCAATATTTATTATTTGTGTAATCGTCAGAACAGTTTGATGTGACTGACATTCTTTCCTGTTAATAATATAGGTACCTTTGATTAGTTTCAAAATATGTTCGATGATGCTGTTGGTAGGTTACCAAATATTGAACTACCTATGAATGAATTTTCACCAGGTTGCTGTATCGTTTGCATTAATTTCTATAAACATACATTAAATAAAATTATAAAAATAAAAATATTATCTGCTATTACATGAAATTGGTCCCCCGATACTTGATTGAACAGATAGTATGGAGTAACATGATTTGCCCCCGGAGACTAGTAATTGTAAACTCTACAATCGAGACATTTACAAATAAAGAGAGATTCAATTTACAGTTGTTTACTATTAATTTACAATTATGTGTAAATATTTTCAAAACCATTTCATCAGGTCACGGGAGCCAATTTTATGTACCTCATGTCCTCATGTATCTATGATTATTGATTATATACTATAGTCTATAATCAAGAAGAATAAAAGAATATGTTCTATAGTATGATTTAACTATTCAAAAATTAAAAATTAAAATATGTTAATCAAAATCACATTATTTTAAATGCATCATAACACATATCATCAAAACGTTACAATATAATTTGAAACTTTTTATTTTCCATCGATTGTTCTGCAAATTGTTTCACGCATTAAACATTTTTCATAAAAAACTTTTAACTTATACTTTTTTTAATTTAAAATATTTTATTAAATCAGTTCCAAGAGATAATTAATTATCCGAGCCCCCAAGGTGTTATAACTGTGTCATGGCCTCTCCCCCAGTTGGCTCTTGGCCAGAGAGTGCAGAGAGCTGAAGTGGTGAGTGGTCCAGAAAATGCACCGATGACTAAAAATAAAAAACACTCGGTGTTTCGGTTGAACCCATGACCTTTTGCACTGTATAAGTTTACAATTTTACACTGACGGGTAAACACTGGTCCACCGCGGTTTTTAATTTTTAATATTGATGCATTCATTGGATCTATGCGCGCATCGTACAATTAGGTAAAGTAAAATTTGTGAACTCTGACAATTATCCACGATATATTAATTATAATAATATTATGTAATATGTGTTATACCTGTACCACTTGGATGACAAATACACCAAACATTAAAAATGACATAGTCATCATTGAACGTTCAAATGTCGGTTCTAAGAGCATAGAGGAAAACGACGGGTTTTTTTTATTTCCCTGTATCCTCTTATTGTTATTGAATAAACTCCGTCGTTCAATTGAGTTACGACGTTGTCGACAATTAAGTTTCAAATTGAAAAATGTCTGTTGCAGTAAATCCAACAAATAATCTATAGAAAAAATAAAATTAATAGTTAATATAGTTTTAACACAAAAAGTATTTATGATCAGATATTCAACAGACATTGGGTATCTGTTATTTATGAAAATATGAAATGTTAGCATATTATTTAATATATTGGTTTCAATCTTCGAATGAAAAATTATTATAGTTATAAATCTATGTTGCTGTATTATTTAATAGTACTAAATATCCAAGAAGGATTTCAAATTAATAATATAAAACTATAATTTCCATATAAAGTACCTACTACCTACATAATATAACACTGCACCATTTCTGTAAGCTAAATTTGATTTTATGAAAAGATTATATTCAAACAGTATACATACTACATGTATATATGCATATTTCTAACAGGAAGTGTTTCAGTATGGTATATATTGATCTGGGATGGTAAACTGAAAAATACAATCAAGCCACTTAAACTACAAAATAATAATAATAATTTGAGTTTGTTTGGGTAAATCGTAAATATATTGTTGAGTCAACAATACAAAATTACAATAAATTAAGAGTAGTAGCGATTAAATTAACATACAAAACATTCGCTGTTTTATGGTTTCTGAAAAATTTAAATAATTCGTTTCATTTGGAACATGGAGCCTAAAAAGAAATATAGGGCATCAATGCCATGGTAACATAATATACAAATTCGTGTTTTTGTCATACATTCTTGCATTTCAGGGGGCACTTGTTTCAACTCCGTGGATACGAAAACAAAAGAAAATTATATGACCAACGCTCAAAAAAGAAAAAAAATATTTAAACAAATGGTTATCCCTATATTTTATACATAAGAAAAATTGAATTATAGTTCTAAAATGAATACTTATAATATAAATAAAAATATATTACAATGTGCTATTATATACTACCTGTATAATTTTATCTAGATAGTTATTTTTTTATGTCTGTTTTGTTATTAAATATTATTATCATTACTTATTTGCTTGAAAAAAATACTTTATAAAACATGTTTATTTTAAACTTTATTTTGTTAATAACTATTAAACTAACTCTGTATCTCTGACAAAAACTATATGCTTAAAAAAGTTAGATGAAATCACATATCTGTATTTCTATACAATCTACTTAGTAGTTGTTCCACTTTTTGACTTAAATGAGTAAAATATGCTCCAAATTATCCACAGTAACTACCGAACTAATAAAGATAACTCTAGCAAATATTAAGTGATAACAATTTAAATACTCTTTAGACCATATCTTCTTAGATGTACACACAAATAAAATAATATCTCGAAAAATGTTTACTGAATACAATATATTAAATATTTATAACTTTAAGGAACTATAATTTGTATATAGTACAGTAATTATTTTATAGTTTTTAATATTTTGCAAAATAGAATACATTTTTGTAAAAACATATTTTTATTGAATTTCCTGCATGAATAAAACATTTTTTTATTGAATTTCGTGCATGAATAAAACATATTTATAAACTTTACCATATTATACACCTATTATTCGTTAACTCATCAACTCCATAAAAATAATTGTTTTGTAATCATAATAAATATTTACAAATACTACAGTCAACTTCATTATGTTCCTAAACCTTTTTAAAGCCATAGAGTAATTTTAATTTGCTATCAATTCTAATTTCTGTGGCACAAAATAAAAAATCTTTGAATTTAATCAGTAGACTAATTATAAGATTTATTAACTTTAAATAATAATATTATTATCATAGTAAACAGTTCAAAATCGTTAGACTTACGTATCTTGTCGTACAATTGACTTCGGGCATCCATCAGGTACCCAATCATCACTTTGGTCACGGCCGTACCACGTCGTCGATTGTTGAGTTGATCTTTCATGCCACTAATTTCATCTCCTCTATTTTCGGAATCACCTTCATTAGCTTCTACATTCAGGATTGTAACTTCTTCGTCGTACTTCGATTGACCTTCATCATCGTCACCACTATTGATTTCTACATCACGATCATCGTTGTCATCTTCGGCATCGGTGACTGCATCTTTTTCTTTTTCTTCGTCTCTTTCTTCTTCTACGTATCCGTCTTCTTCTACGTCTCCTTCTTCTTCTACGTCTCCTTCTTCTTCTACGTCTCCTTCTTCTTCTACGTGTCCTTCTTCTTCTACTTCTCCTTCTTCTGCGTCTTCTTCACTGGTCTTATTATTGGAGTGTTTAGTAGTCAAATCATCATCTTGCCTGATAGTCGATTCACTATCTTGTCTGTTAGTTAAATTTCCGGGGTGTTTTTCTGGGGTGGTAGTGTTTCGTCCACCGTCTAGTGTAATTTTTACGTATTCCACCGAATCATCTACCTCAGGCCAGCTTTCTGAAACGCCGGTATTGTCTTTGTATTCATCTTTAGGCTCATTACTTGTAACGTGAACGCCGCATGGCATAGTCACGTTCATTAGCGAGCTCCCATTGCTCGTCAACGTACACAACCTGATCCATTGGTCACTTCCGACACCGCTGACCCTGAAATCTTGCGCAATGTAAAAAACCACTGCAAATAACAATAGTAATTTCACCCCGACAACATGGGTCGTTTTCAACGACTGGGACGATGGGCGAAAAGACGACATCGTGTGTCTTGTCACCGCGAAGAATGTGTGACCGTATAATAATGCGTTCGTGTGACGAACAGTTGCTGAAGTTTAAGAAAAAGTTAAGTTGGAGATAATGAGAGGAATTAACAACATGTCCCAATTACCATCATTTCCGGAAGAAAAAAATAGGGTAATTTTAATTTAACTATGCCACACGGAACTGTACACATAACCACAGAGTACTTCTCGTACCTACACCGTTGCAGTAATTATGAACAACTCGCGGACGGCTGCACCACCATCTCATGGTCATGTATATGTTATAATTTATTGTACATGGTTATTTTCCGCTTCACACTACTTTCATTCCAAATTTATAAGAGCAGATAACTTGAGTCCACAAATTTTGGACATCAGTTATCTGTTAGCTATTAATTATTGCCATAGTATCTTGAAGTCTGAACTGATTGGACTCAATTTAATATGTACCATATTTATTGACAAGTGATTTGCGTACAAAATAATAATTACTTATATTTAAATTTATTATATTCTAGTTTTCAAATTATATTGATACGGTAGTTTTGATACAACTACTTTCCGCTACTGAAGAAGTTTTATATTTTTTTAATTAGAAAGGTACTATTATTTGGTATTTAGGTACTTACTTCAATTATTATTATGTAGTTATTTTATCTTAATTTTAAGGTAAATTGTTAATTAAAAAAAGTTTTTATTCATTTTATTTTTTTTGTTTTATTTTATCAAAGAAAATCCTAATACCTACTGTTTTATGTTTTAATTTTTTTTAAATGTTGCACCGTTCATAGTTTCATACGACATTCACTTTATGACACAGACATTGTAATAACATTACTGTAAATAAATAATAATCTACCTATCCCTTATCTTGACACTGTTAAATACGTAGGCCTAAACCTTGATCAAAAACTAACATGGTAAAATCATATTTGAAAAAAAGACTTATAATCATTACCCCTTTCCGTTCTCTAAGAAATGTACTCTCAAAAAATAAAGTCCCAACTTTAAAAACGAAATCACTATAATAGACAAATCTTTTCTGAAACCCATATGGACGTATGGAATCCAACTACGGGGACTAGCAAAACAATACAATTCAGCTATCCAAAATATTAGGTACACTTTAAAAATTACAAATGCTCCACCTTTTGTCTATTATATTAGAGCACCAAGAAAATCCCGTGATAAAAGGCTTACACGTCCCGTCACTTCCTGCAAATCCCCATAACCCCGTCGCAGGCTCAAAAGAAAATTGAGTAGAAATATTATAAATTAATCCTATAATAATGTAAGTTCAAAATTAAACGCTACTAATTGGTGACTCCTTATTTACGCAACCTCAATAATGTTCTTTTTTATTCCCTTTCTCACATACACTTATTGTGCTTAATTGTATAGATGGTAACTTTCTTATAAAAGAAAAAAGAAAATTAATAAAAGTTGTATTAAGTGACGGCAAATTATTTTTTTGCAGATATCTGCGAATTTGTTCATCTTAGAATAAGAAAAATAATGTTAAAATAGATTCAAGTCACCCAGATTGACTGTACCTCCATGTAAGTACACCAATGTACCACTTATTATGCATTAATGCATTGGCGCAACTAGACATTTTAACTAGGGGTTGCTAAGCTCCAGGTTTTTTTGTGATTCAATGAGACCTAACACCTAACGTTTTTTTAGGGAGTGCTAAGGACCCAAAGCACCCCCCCCCCCCTAGTTGCGCCAATGCTGTTATACCTACCTATATTATAATTGTTATTATATCTACTGTCAAAACTCAAATACGGGTTAAAAGTAAGTGATTCTCGGGTACAGTATATTGTACCAGTTACAACATTTGTTCACAATAAGATATTAAGACTTAAGTCAATAATTATAAAAAAAATGGTATATTACTATTTTTAAAAAAGTATTCTGCTTCAAATAACGAAATTAAAAATATTGATTGTCGCAAAATTGTTTTTCAAAAATTCTAAAAATGTGTATAATAATATATTATAGCCATACACAATTTGCCAAGACTACGAGCGATTCGTGTCAGATAAAAATATATAATCACTTTGAATATTAAGTTTTTTGGCTATAAATATATATTGTTTATTGGTTTATAGTATACTTTGGGAGTCTATATAATTAATGAACAAACTTAATGACATATCGGTAGGTATATACCTTATACTCCATAATACACACTGTACTCCAAACCTGAGAACGGAATGCTATTATTTGATCGGTATAATACTTTGTCCCCAGTATATATAACATGCAAAGTAATTCACTGTTTTTCCCCTAGTTGTTATTTATAGCTGTACGCTGTAATTTATTGTAAATTGGAGATTAGCCGATGATATTTAGTAAATAAATTATTAACCATTTTATGAGGTAAAATCTGAACTGTTAGGTAGGTCAAACTATAGTTATAACAATATATTGACCGAATAAAATTCCCGTTAGAGTATTTATATAGAGATGAAATCGGATTCCACAATAATCTAACGGAAATACCATAGAAAAGTTTATACGAGCCATATAGACAACGTCAATAACATTAGACCTTCGAAAAATAACTTAATTAATGTAATAAACTTTAAATTTTTTTCTGGTTTTAAAACGTTATAATAATGTTTCAAATGGCGAAACTGAAATGTTTTCTATAATTGGTACCTACTACGTATTTTACTATTTTAGGCTTTCGAATCATCTAATGGCAAAGAAAAAATACAGAAAAATGTTGAACAAACTTAAGAAAGTTTAGTTTTAAATTAATTCCTCTTTACAGAGTTCTCCTTGAAATGCTAAGATTTATTATTGTTTTTAAATTTTAATAATGAAAATAGCACTACTGCCCAATGGTGTCGAGGTAATTAAAACGAAATGATTTCTCAGAACCTATTCTTTGAATACCGTTAACTTTTTAAATAAAATCAAAATAACAAATTATTAAAAGACCTTGTTTAAAATAAGTTTAGAATGTATAGTAGTATTTTATTTTTGATCTTCACTAATCATAAATAACATGTGAAGCAAACTAATATATTTCTAACAGACAATATATATTGGAAAATCAATAGGGCACCATTATGATATTTTTAGATGTATGAAACAATTTGTTTTAAGTTTTAACTATAAAAATGTTAATATACATATACTATATTGTACATAATACAATAAAAGCAGTTTTATAATTGTAATAACTTATAAGTTATAAGTTATAACTATTACAACAGTTGTAAATACCTAAAATGTTGTATTTATAATTGGACCACTTATTTTAATTATGCAGTAGTAGTCATAATAATATAACAATAAATAAATGTATGACAAACTTCGCCATTTGAATGCAACTTCCCTTAGTTCATCAAAACTTGAAACTTCAATCAAAATAAATCCACTGAAATTACAGAAGGAGCGTCTGAACAGTATAAAATTAGATAAATTAAAAATTATTATTTCAATTTAATATTAATTAGGTATGTAACATGGTAGGTAATTATCAACATTTCTAGAACCATTCTCAAATATTTCTTTTCCATATAACAATCTTTGTATTAATTAAAGTTCTAATCTTTTTATAATATAACAATAGGTTAAATTACTTAAATTATTTTAGTAATACTAAATAAAGTATAAATTCAGTTTAACTGAGTACAAAAAGTTATAATTTGAACTGAAAAAATAATAAAGTATATTTTATAATTTATCTTCTCTAGTTTCTGTACCGGTATACTGTTTAGTAACTAAGTAATGATTAAAATTAAGAAATTAAAACAACTTTAAAAAAATATAGCTGAAAATCACTACTAGAATATTGTAATATAAACTTAATTTGTGAATTTGTGAATTTATCACCTTTCATTGTTTTAATAAATTTTATATATTTTCTGTCACTGCATATTTTAATTTCTAAATATTTAATAACACATATTATTTAAGGTAATGTGAAGATTTAATATTTCAGCAAAATAAATGATGATTATATTACCTGTAACCGATAATTATACAACACCCAAGGGTCTCTTAAATCCAACTCTAGTCATTTATGGTAATTTACCTTTACAAAAATGTGATTATTATTAACCCTTATCTGTTGATTATGAAACAAACGATAGCCATTTATTTGAGCCGTTATTTTTTATCTCGTATTTATAAAATAGTAAATATTCCCATTACTATTAGTAATATTATTTAACCCGTAGATTATAATATCTACAATAATTATGAAGCTATAAACGCAAATGATATTTTTCAACAACTAGGTAATTTAAAATTTACATAGCTATTGCAGGTCCTGATGGCCTCTTTCCTGTATTTCTGCATGCTTGCAAATTTGTTATTTTTACTAGTAGGTATTACGTTTTCTTTTTAATGGCTATTTAAGTTATGTCTCCTTTACCCATACCTATTTGTGTATGGTATATCTACATTTAACAATCAGATTTTTTTTTTTTAAAAGAGATAAATCACTAATTTCAAATTACCGTCCTATTTTTTTTAATCTTTATCATTTCCAAATTATTCTCTAACATCATTAATCCTAAGCTCGCTCCGCTTTTAAAAATTATTCTTTTTCCGCAACGACAGGGTTTTCGTAGTAAAAAAAACTACTATCGTCGATCACTAATTTAATATCCTTCAAACAATACATTTTAAACTAATTTTAAAATAATCAACAGACTGGTGTCATATAATAAATAGGTACTGACTTCGAAAAAAAAAATTATTTTGTTCCACCCAAGTCAAGGATCGAGGAGTAATCTTCAATTCCAAGGTTTTATTCAACCTCCATGTATTATAAATAACAAATGATTTTTCCTTAATTAGCATGATCAATTTTTAACAGCTCCAGTCCTAATGGTTTATTTATACGAAAACGTCTTTATATGTCATATCTATTATTCTTCCAAGTTCCAAAACAAGAATATGAGAAAATACAACCATGGGTCGTTGTGACCAAATACAAAAAGTTTAAAATAATATTCGTTCGATTTTTT